AAATTAAAAGGAAAGAGAATGATTTCACGAGGCGCTCCCTAGAATGTTAGATCATTTGGGGAAACGATATTGATCGTGCACGAGTCTGCAACCCACTCATGCATTGAGACTAGTACCAGCTTTTAAATTCAGCATCGATCTTGGTCACAACGGTGGGAAAGTCTAACTTGATACTGAAACAAATTTACTCACGACAGTTGTCTTTTTAGTATTTATCAGTTCTTATTCCCACTGTGTAATTCTTTGATGGAATATTACGTCGTATCTTAAAGTAGTTTTTACACCGGATATTCCGAATTTTATTTTATTTTATTTTATTTCCATATTCTCCTACCTCTTATTTTACTGCTGCGTTTTCATTTGGAATCATTTGGAATCGTTTGTCACGTCAATAGCAGAGTAACGTGGAAATGTTTCTACACTTCATGTCTGTTGTTTAAAGTTTACGGCATAGTATGTGGTTGTAAATGATTCACTCTGGTGGGCTCCGTACTTTTACAAGCAAGGTTTCTTATGGCTTTTCTAAACCCTTGCATTCGTATGGCATACACAAGAGGATTCACAATGCAACTCGCCAAATAAATGACAAAAAGCACAACATCCATATCAACCCCTGATGTATTGGACGATTTTTTCTGTGGATCGATTGGAATGGACTTGTAAACAGCAAGGGGCAAAATGGTGAGAACGGAAACTCCAGTGACCATCAGTAATGTTACTGATAGTTTCCTTTCCGTGTGAATTAAACCATGATGTTCTGAACGATGACTTCTTTGAACATTTACAATGATAATAATATAACAGACAGCTAAGACAAGTAAAGTGACAGTACTAAATGATGCCCATACGTAAGGTAATGCGCCTCGCGGTAAAATGTGTAGGACAATGGCGATCAAGAAAGATACAAGCCAACTTCCAACGATGATTTTAAAATAAAGCCATTTCCTTATCAAGCAATGCCTGAAGGGAAAAAGTGTTGCATGTAGCCGCTCTAAGGATATTAAGGAGAGATTGACCTGGGAAGCTATTAGAAAATTGGTTCCAATAGCCAAAAGAATAAGTCGTGGTAATGTAACACCGTCGCTTTCTTCATGTTTGTGGAACACGAGTAGTGGTCCTGCCACGGCACCCACCAGTAGATCAGCCACAGTCAGGTTTATTACGAGGTACGTACTGTGCTTGCGTAGATGGCGGATTCTTGCGAAGGCGGCGATAGTGATGGCATTGATGATCGATATGACAACAAATTCGGTGACAAAGACTGGAAGCCAGACTGGAGAATCTTCTGTAGTCATTTCTTGAAACGGAATTCAACTTTCTTTCTCCAATGGCGTTCTCGTATTTATTCCATCGATATCCCAGCTAAAGTGATTTAAAAAAAGAATGATGTTTTAAAAACATGCTTCAGTATATCCAATTAGTAGTTGGTAGTTTAGACTGAATTATAATGGTGGACACGGATTTCAGACAACATAAACACATTTTGCTCGGATTTTGCTGTTTTACTATAGAGAAACAAGCTTAATAAAAAGCAGTGTTGTGTGACAATATACAAGCCATGAATAGATAGGCGAAATTTTGTGCAGCTGACTTGATGAGCATCACTTTATATTCAAATTGGGCTGATGAGTAATACCTTATTCCGGTCGGGAAAAACACATTTTACCAATATATGGAAAACTGGTTGAGCAAGCGTTTCTTTTCGATGAGAAAAAGGCTCATCTCAGTGTTCTCATGTCTGCTCCTCATATGTTTGCCGACGGTCGTGTATCTAGGATGTTTAATATCGCCTGTTAGCGAGGAGACTTTATTATTTAGGAGGCTTATTGCTATTCCCTATTGCTCAAGGAAACTTTTTTAACCCGCAAACCTATTTTCGTAGTAATGATTCTGTGAAATTTAAGGTTTTTTTAAAAAATTTTACTGCGTTAAGTATAAGAATAACGCTTAATAATTCAGCAAATACTTTTTTCTGACAGCGAAAAGCTTATCCACTAGCAGAGTAAAACCGACAGTAGGCCATCTGCTGGAGAGCTTTTCTTAATTCGTGAAACTGCTAATAAACTTGAAAGTTATATAATCTTAAATGGCTGGAATATACACCAAAGTAAAACGGAGTTAACTTGGCAATTTTGTACTCCGTTTACTCGGACGGGTTAACTAAGTTGTAGTATAAAGAACCAGACGATCTGTTGCATAAAAACAGTCAGTTGTGATAATGTTGTAGATAACTACAGCCATTCATTCATGCAATACTACCCCCTCGTCATTTTAGGTGCTATATTTGTCAGGATTTTGGATTTGCGACTAAAGTTTTTGGCAACCCGACCAACGTATAATCCAAAACACCAGACAGATGCGCTGAACTGGTTTGAGAAAATTCTTTGATCTGAACTCTTTAAATTCTCACAGAAAGATAATAAACCCCCCTTTCTCGTAAAGCATTCCCGCTTACCTTGATACACAGCTTTCTCCAGAAATTAAAAGTATATATATTTTTACATCGGTTATTTTCTTGCTGTTCCTGTTTTGTTTTTTAGTCCAGACGGCATTGAGCTGCATCAACCAAAATGGAGAATATGTAGAAACTTGATCTTAGAAATTGTCATGCAGCTTAATTGGGCTTAAAACAGAATTTTATGCAAAATTTTCTTGCTTGCCAATCTGACAATTAAGTGAGCCTGTCGTGAAACGATCATCGATGACGTCACGGAAAGGACCAGTTGTAGACGAGACAAGCGGAATAAAACCAGTTACTCAAAATAAAATGGCCGCTTTTGTTGCCGATGGCCTCAACTCGTCAAGTCAGCAATTTTATTTTAGCGAATTGTTATCAAAGGTGGGATGTGCCGGTTTCCTCGAGATAGTGTGGCCAACTGTATAGCAAAGCACGCAAATAGAAACGAAAAAAAATCAGTCGGTGAAATATACTATAGCTAGGAATTAGGCAATCAAGTGTAAATCCAATTTTGGTTCAAAATTGTATGCAGGAAACTTCCGAAAGTAACCACCCTCGTTACTTTCGGAATAAGCAGCCTTTGGCTCGTTACTTTCGGGATTTGGTTACGTTCGAGAAGTCGTTACTTTCCGACTGAGCTATTTTTATAAAATAAAAGATGGAAGCTGATTCTCAAAAAAAGTTATTAAAACATGAGATACAATTCATCGTTCCAGTTTAAGTGTATGTTGCTGCCACATGGGTAGGCTGTTCATTTGCTGCTTGTTTTGAAGGGACAAACGAGGTGTCCCAAAGACTATGATAGCCCTCGAGGTCTTTGTACAGGCCAGATTGATGACTTTCCGAGAGTTACTGGTCTACTTGGAATTAAGGCTCGTCTTCACCGTCCCGTCATGTTTTTTGTTTTGTTTTTGTCTCGTTGCCGCGCTTCGCGACAGCCAATCACAAGCGTTGAATTCAAAGTTGTTGCGAGACAAGTTATAGCTTCAGTGGTAATACGAGCAGCAAAACTAAAATTTGTTGCAGAAAGTAGAACTCGAGTCTACAATGTACTTTGCGCAACATGTTGCCTCAACTTACAACACTGTATTTTGCTGCGAGACAAGTTGGACACAAACGTGGTAATGCGCGCAACAATGCGTTTTCAACTTGCAATGGAACAATGTTGCAAGACAAGTTGAAGAAAAATGTTACCCGTATTACGGGACCTTTAACGAAAACTGACTAATTATAATTGTGACTAACATCTGGCTAAATGTGACTGACATCTGACTAGATGTACACAGAACTTTATAAAGTGGTAGACGTTTTCCATCCAGGACACACGTACAAAAACATAATCATGACATTTCTTTGGCTTCATTTTTTGGTTTCTTGATCTCAGATCGCCTGGAAAGAAGGTTTTGTTCCGTCCTCGTCTTTTCCAGTTGTAGTTTACAACTCAGTTTCAGGTTGTGAACGAAAAACTCTTTTCTGTTCGGCTCTCTGTGATCGTTTCTCTGCTTAACCCTGTCTTTATGCAAGGTTTCTTAATGCTTTTCCAAATTCCTGCATTCGTATGGCGTATACAAGAGGATTCACTATGGAACTGGCAAAATATATCACAGCTAGAGTATCATGAATATCAAACCTTGACACACTGTGTCATTTGTCCTTTATATCCTCTGGGATGGATTCGTAAATAACCCGGGGCAGAATGGTTAGAACGGAAATTCCGGTGACTAATGATAATGTTACTGATATGAAGACATGATATGATCTTTCATATATTCACTTGCAATGTTACTGATAGTTTTCTTTCTTTCTGAATTGAACCATAATGTTGTACACGAGGACTTCTTTGAACATTTACAGAAATAATGAGATAAGAGATTATGAGAACAAGAATGGTGAGAGCACCAAATGATTCCCAGGCGTAAAAATTCTGCATCTGATTCATTCAAATATAAGCCAGCCATGAGAGAGCTCAGAAGGACAGTTATAGACATCCAGTTAGCTATGATGATTTTGAAGTAAACGAATTTACTAATTAAGCAATGTCCGAGGGGAAAAAAGTGTTGCATGTAGCCGCTCTATAAGAATATGAAGGACAGAATCACTTGGGAAGCTACTGACAAGGTGAACTTTATAGCGCAGCTAATGTCGGAATCCTGGCCGTTTTTTGTTTTGTTTTTTCTTGTGTGTGTGTGCTCATGGAAAAAGTACAAAGTACAAAGGTCCTGTCATGGCACCAACCAGTAGATCGGCCACAGTCAGGTTTATTATGAGGTACGTACTGCGCTTGCGTAGATGGCGGATTCTTGCAAAGGCGGTGATAGTGATGCCATTGATAATCAATATCGGAAGAACCTCAGTCGCTTGCACTGGAAAGCAGTCAATAGACCATTTTACAGTTGTCTGCTCAGTGACCTGACCTTTGGATGGCAGCGAGGCTCGAGGTGACCTCGTTTTGATACAGACCTCACTGCTTTTGTTGTGTAAAACAAGTTGTTCTGATGCTAACTAGATGCATTTACATGACAAAAGCAGTGAGGTCTGTATCGAAACAAGCCTCGCTGCCATCCAAGGGCCAGGTCACTGAACAGAGAACTGTAAAACTGTTGTTCTTTCTTGCAGGAGAATCTTCAGTACTAGTAGTCATTCCTGTGAGCAGAATTTATTCTTCTTCTTGAAATTATTCCAGTACAGCTAGGAATTAGATAGTAACAATTATATTCAGTAGTTTTGCGGACTTTAACATGACAATTTAATAAATTCAAATTAACTTTGGGTACTCCATTAAAGGGGTCTTGAATTTTCATGAATCACTTTTATTACCATAACATTATAAAGATTGGAGAATACTATGATTCTAAACGAACTTCATTGTTTTACTTAGATCTAAAAAGTGCATTTTGCAAAGTTAGAAACCCAGTAATAATAAAATGTTGTGTTAATTTGGAATTTTGCAGGAGATTTGTACTACAATTATATCTAATGCATGATGGCTTGTAAACTGAGAGGACAAAGGAGCACAACTAAAGCCTCATCTAATTGTAAAAAAGGTTTCATCCAAAATAACAAAGAAATTCTCTTTTAAGCTATTTTGTTTTACCTTCTTACATGTAGAAATAAAATAGCCCAGGGTAAAATGCTGAGAACGGAAACTCCAGTGACTATGAATAATGTTACTGACAGTTTCTTTTCCTTGTGAATTGAACCATGATGTTGTGAATGAGGACTTCTTTGAACATTTACGATAATAATGATATAAGAGAGTGTGATGACGATTAGGGTAAGAACGTTAAATGATGTCCATGCGTACGGAAATTTGTCTTGCGATAATATAGTTATGACAAAGGCGACAGAGAAAATTATAAGCCGGCTACCGACGATGATTTTAAAGTAAACCCATTTCGTGATCAAGCAGTGCCTGAAGGGATAAAGTGTTGCATGTAGCCGCTCCAAGGATATCATGGAAAGATTGACCTGGGAAGCTATTGGAAAATTGATTTTAATAGCCCAAAGAATAAGTGGTGGTAATGTGAAACTGTTGCTTTCTTCGTCTTTGTGGTACAGGAACAGTGGTCTCACCAGTAGATCAGCCAAAGTCAGGTTTATTACGAGGTACGTATCGCGCTTGCGTAGATGGCGGATTCTTGCGAAGGCGATGATAGTGATGACATTGATTATCAATATCACAAGAAATTCAGTGATATAGACTGCAGATCAGTTAGGAGAATCTGGAGTAGTCATTTCTTCGAAATAAATTCAACGTTCTCTCTGCAATGGCGTTCTGGTATTTATTTGTGTCCAGTAAAGTCAATGAGAATAACAATAATAATTATTAGTAGTTTCGAAGGCTCAAACATGACGCTTTTATAAGTTGTGCTGCAAAATCAGTTTTGGATAAGTTTGTGCTCCACTTCAGGTCCAAGAAGGAATGGTTATTGTGGACAAGGATTCCACATAACATGAACGTATTTTCTTGGACCCAAAAAGAGACCTGCTGTAAGGATAAACACGCTCATTAAAAAGCAGTGTTGTGTGACAATTTATGCACGCACAGTCATGAACAGATGGACGAAATTTTGTGCAGCTGATTTGACGAGCATCCCTTCATATTCAAATGGTACTGATGACTAATACCTCAATGTATTGCTGATCGGGAAGAACACATTTTACCAATACATGGAAAAAATGAGTGCGCGTTTGATTGGGATTAAAAGTAAGGCCACCTCGTCGATATGTGGAACAATGGTTGAGCGCGCACGTGATTCCGATTAAAAGAAGGTAACCTCAGTGCTCTTATTTCTCCTCATACAAAACGGACACTTTTGCTTTAATACTGACTTACTAATTTAATACTTTTATGAAGGACGCTGATTAATGTTATTCCTATTGCACAGGAAAACTCTTTCAACCAAAAAACCCGTTTGCGTGGTATGATTCTGTTACATTTAACGTTCCTTAGCTTCCCTGAATAGACTTGAGACATACGATCTTGAATGGCTCTAATATACACTAGAATAAAGTGAAGTTAACTTGGAAAACTTTTACAGACGTTTTTTACTAGCGTTCACTCAGAAGCAGTATTTGAATTAAAGGACCAGACTCTGTGCCTTAAAACAGCAGCGGTAACGTTCTAGATAAGTATCACAATTCGTCCAATATTTCCTCGTCAGTTGCGGTACTATATCTTGCCGTATTTTAGTTTTACGTCTACAATTTACGACAGCACGACCAGCAAATAATCCAAGAGACGAAACGAATGCGTGGAACTGGTGTTAGCGAAACTTCTGATCCGAGTCCTTTCTCATACAAAGATACTAAACTTTCCTGTTTCGTAAAACACTTCTCTTACCTTGCAACACGGCTTGTAAATTTTACGCTGGAAATTAATTTTACTTCTGTTCTTCACCTGCTTCACAGAGAGGACATTTAGTTGCATCAGCCAATTTACATAATACGTCCTCGCTTGATCTTTGAAAGTTTGATATAATATTCGTCTAGTTCAATATAGATTTTATCAGTAACCAATAGCAATATCGAAACAGCCTCTCACAGAGCAGTCATCTGTCATCTGCTGACTGACACGGGCAATTTGTTTGGTCGTACGTGCGAACAGGAAGGGAGATAATTCACTTTAGCAAACATTGTCGGTTTTGCGTTTGAAGGCTTGTATGCGTTAACTGTTGGCTCAAATCTTATTTCATCTGATTCTACATTTTATTAACTTTACGGCATCTAATACTTTTCTGTTGTTTTCAGTTTTTCTTAAAAAAACGCGAGCTCGAATGATCCCCTGAAAGACACCCCTGAAGGTCTACCGTAACCTTAAATTTGAGTCTTATGCAAATTGTTCTTGCTTGTCAACTTAACAAAGTACAGTCTGCGGGGATGTGCCATAAAACGATCATTCTTATGATGTCACCGAATGGAGCAAGTGCCGGAAAGAATGGTGCTGAAAAGAAAATGGCTGATAGCTTAAATCCGTGGGATTTCGCCAATGTTATATTAGTTCGTTGTTACCGGTACCAATGATGTGATGCAGGGGCATTCTTATTGTCAACGGATTAAATGTAAGCAGGTGTTTCTCTGACTGGAACTCAGCAACTTTCCGGCGCATTGTTCCACAATTGATTGACAGTAACTTTGAAGTATTCCAAGCAACCTTCAAGGTCTTCAAGTCTTAATTTACATTTGCTCAGGCAGTTTTCCAAAGTTCCGATTTCCATTCTCCCGCATAAAAATAAATAAATAAATAAATAAATA